ATTGGACGCGCGCCAGTTTAAAGCGCGGTGAAGCGCTTGGTAGTTGGAAAGTAAAAAGGAAGCCTTTATTAAGACGCGACGATGACGAGGAGGAGGAGGAGGAGGATTTGCCCGATCGGGACGATCGCGTCTTTCTCTTCCCCCTTGGAAAAGGCGGGACGCTATAAAACGATACAAAGTTTTAACACGGGCATCGCGGATTACATCGTAAAACGATCGGCGTACAAACGATCCTCGTGGCATTTACGCGGGGAAAAAGCAATATTGCCGTAGGATTTCCTTCGAGGCGATCGAAGGTTTCCTCGTTGGAGTCGTTAGCAAGGAGGGGAAGGGGCCCCACGCGAGCCGAGCCGAGCCGAGAGAGCCGGCCACCTTTTCAGGCTGTGCGGTGTTTAACGGTGACGGATCGACTAGGAAATCGATGTTCGAAGGGTGACGGGGGTCAACGCCGTGGAAGCCGGTAGCCGCCGCCGTTGCCTTTTGTCATCGCGTCGACAGCCACCCGATCTCTCTCCTCTCTCCTCTCTCCTCTCTCCTCGTTCAACGAGACGGGAACACGTAACGTGTAAAAATGGGGGAGAGCGAGGAAGAGAGAGAGAGAGAGAGAGAGAGAGAGGCAGCAGGTGTGCTTAGGTGGCCGATGGCGTGATTCGTCATAGGCGTGACCCAACAACCACCACGACTCACGATGCGACGTTCCATCTCAATCGCGTCATCGTCGTTCACGACGCTCGACTTTTTTCTTCTTCTTCTTCTTCTTCTTCCTCCTCCTTCATAGATAGATAGATAGACAGATAGATATCTCGCGCGTTACGTTACACGCATACCGTTCGATACTCCAACGCGAACCTCGCTCCTCCTCCTCCTCCTCCCCCTCCCTTCCTCTGCCTCGATTTCGTTCCATCTCCGAGCGATCTCGTGTTTGCGCAGTTTCGCGGTTCGAAGAAGAATTTTTCGAGAGAGGAATCCAGAGAGAGAGAGAGAGACAAGGAGTGGAAAGAAGATTGGACGAAGCGTGTTTCCTCGCTCAGAGAGAGAGAGAGAGAGAGAGAGAGAGACCAGGTAGTAGAGCGGATAGTAGACAGCCTGGACTGACCAGCGGGTGCTCCGGATCCGACTGGACCGGTTTTGCTTGAATTCCCTAGGAGTTCTAGCCTTCGGGACTCCGCGAGAGCCCGCTCGCAGGATTCTCACCGTACCAGCCTCTCCTCTGATCACCCCGGCTCGCTACCGAGACCAGGGACGAGGACCACTCTTTGGCCAGTTATGCCGTCTCGCTCCGCTTTTTTCCTCCTCCTTCCTTCCTCTCGTCCCTTTACCTGCTTACCTTCGCTTCACCCCGAGGAGGAAGCTTCGCTCCGAGTATCGGCCGCTCGTATCCACCATCGCCCTCGTCGTCGTCCTCGTCGTCGTCGCCGCTACTAGACACCGGTATTTCAACGTATCATTTATCATCGGGCGCGCGAGCAACCACGCTCCTCCCCTTCGAAGATGACGACTCGATAGGACGAGGGAGGACCTCGCGACACCGCTCGTATCATCCGTTTCGTTCGCGGATACGTACGACTCTCTCTCTCTCTCTCTCTCTCGAGGATTCTTCGGTCGATCGAAGATATTAGCCGCTGGCTGGCTGGCTGCCTACCGCGACTTTAATTATACCGGTACCTACGCAATTTGTCTCGTTATCGATTCGAGATTTCGCGACCGGCCCGTATATATGCTCGTCCTTCTATATTTATCCCCGCGCTTTACCCCTCCCCCCGTTCCAGTTTCCAGTGTTTTCAGTGGAAGGGGATCGGTTTTAGCGCCGGTTAACCACCCTTCGTCCTAGGTCTGGCCTGTTTCGGTGAGGCAGGGATCCAGTTTTCGAATCGAGTTTATCCTCTCTCGAAATCCTGGATTGACCGTTGAAGAGGAGCGCAACGTCGTAGTTTCCAACCGTCGTAGTTTATCTCTCATTTCGATATCTTCGAGGAGGGGCAGGATTTTCGAGAGAAAATTTTTCATCTACTCTACCGCGATGGTGGTTTCCTTTATTTACGACGGCGTTCTTCGTCGCGGCGATTTAAATTAATAACGTCGCGTTTCCCTCTCGCAGAGATTAATAACAGGTTAACGAAAAACTACGAGCGGACGAGTCGAGAGGAGGAGGAGGAGGAGGAGGGTTGACTTTCCCCTCTCCTCCCTCGAGATACTCGAGTCATCTTGATAACGCGGCGGAGAATTATTCGCACCGCGTGCGCCGGTTCGAATCGATCGGTGATGAAAAGAGAAATGAAATTTGCATTTTGCGACCAATTTGTTCCGAGGCGTTTATTTGCCTTGTTTGTTTAGATTATTTATGTTATGTTCTATATTTGTATATCCTTATCTAGTTTATTTGCGTAACATATTTCGTAAAATTTTTCCAAGGTGATCGAAAATTTCCGGAATCGCCATTATGAAAATTAGCTTCCACCGATGCAGATTAATGCCGGCATATCGTTATCGCCTCGTCTACTTACGCGTCGCTAATAATTCGAATCGTGCTTGTTATCCACCCGTGCGAAATCGATTGTTAATTGTGACCGGTGCTGCGTAAGCCTCTTAGACGAAAAAACGGCGCGTATCTCTCCATCCCCCATATCATAATATATCATATAAGTAATCAATATCAGTAAAAGTCAAATCGTAGAACGAATCGAAAAAATTACATCGCCTCCTACGAGAATTCTTCTTCGTACGAAGAAAGAGGGAGAGAGAGAGAGAAAAAAAAAGAAAAGAGAAGAACGACGCGGTTAATCGCGTCATCGGGAAGTGACGGGACGAAATTTCTTGCCGGCCGGTTTTTGGATCCGCGAATTCCAGCCGGGCCCACCCCGACCCCGTATAACGAGTGAACACGCATAATGATATTAATCAAGGCGGCGCGTTCGGCTTCCTTAAAATTGCCGGCAGGCTCAATTTCTCACTTAAAATCTAATTAGAGCTCCGGCCGAGTTCTTCTTCTTCTTCCACGAGCTTCTTCTGCTGCCGTGGGCCACGAGAAAGGAGGAGGAGGGGGAGGGGGGCCCCGCGAGCCCACGTATCCCACGAACGGACGGAGCTAAGCCACCACTTTGCCAAATTGCAGTTTCCTGCCCCTTCGTCGGATCGCCGTTCGTCGATCGCAGTTCACCCCCCTTCCCCCTCCTCCCTCTTCCTCCGAAAGGGATTTTTCTCCTCGCAGCGCAATTGGAACGAGCGGCCCTTCGATTGCCCCTGCCCGATCCAGGAGGCCCTCGGACCGCCCTCATCCTCCTCCTCCTCAACCATTTTCCCCACCTGTTGTTCCTCGCCCCCTTCCGTCTTTTCCTTTTTTTCCTTTTTCTTCTTCCTCGCGAAATGAAAATTCTCGTCGTCGTCGAGAGGAGAGGAGAGGAGAGGAGAGGATGGGATGGGTTGAGAAATATAGAAAAAAAGAAAGAAAGAGAGAAAGAGAGAAAGAGCGGTAGTCGAAGCAACGACGCCGCGGGGGGATTTACGATTGGAACGCGAAAGGGTAATCGGGGGAGTCCGCGAGCTCGTGGATCAACTCGTTGCGATTCGTTAATTATTACCGTCCGCTCCGTGACTAGACACCCGGAGTCCGTGTATCCGACCGGATCGTTTGTGGGGGGAGGGGGTGGGTGGTTGCGAAGGAGGAGGACACGGGGGAGCAAAAAAGACGGTCGATCGTTAGCAAGGTACAAATTTCGCCATTTGCCGCAATAAACCTTCGAACCCGCTTGTAACTTCTTCTTATGGGAGGCATGAGTAATCGCCTTGTTAGCCCTTATGGCCTATAGCGCTCATACGCTCGCTCTCCCCCCCCCCTCTCTCCTTCCCTTGTTGTCCATGGGAGGGACAACGGCAACGGCAACAACAACAACAACAACAACAACAACGGCAACGGTCGAGACATGCACGCACACCGATTGCAAAAGAAGAAAAAGAAAGGAAAAAAGAGGAGAGAGGGGAAAAGAAGAAGAAGAAGAAGAAGGAAGGGTCGGTCGGTCGAGGATGCGGCCCGGAGAGAGAAACGATAGGGGTATGAAACGCGAAACACACGCGATATATATATATATATATACATATATATGTGTGTACCCCATCGACACCGAACGCCTGTGTAACGAGCGACGCAAAGGACCCGCCGATCCTGCTCAGGTAGTGGAGAGAAATCGAAAGAGAGAGAGAGAGAGAGAGAGAGAGAGAGCGTTGTACGACCGAGAAACGAGCAAAAAGCGAAGGAAGCCAATACACGCGGGGACGGAAACAGAGGCGTCCAGGAAGAGGAGAAGGGTGGTGGAACCACGGACCGAGGGAGGAGCGATCCGTATTTTCGCTCCTCTCTCTCTCTTTAACCGCGCTTTAATTTAATTACCTCGCTCTGCTACCACTTAATTACCATCCCTCCTGATACATATTTTTTTATTCCTTCTCGCGATAGAAAGAGAGAGAGAGAGAGAGAGAAAAAGAGGGGAGGATCTCAGGGGTGGGCGACGAGGTAAGAGGAATTGCGGAATGTGGAAGCGAATGCGTCACCCTCGCCGAGTCTCTCGCGGGACGTCTTCGACGCGACGCCGACGTTAAGAGAAAGGAAGCGGGCGCGTTGGTGTGCGTGTGTCCCCATCGAGTCGCGTGGCCCCATATCTTAAGAAGTAGCCAAGGGGGGTCCGGCGAAGGACGGCGAATGGGGACTAACACTGTTTTATCGTGTAGCCAATTAATAACGTTTCCCTTCCCACCTCTCCCGGCCCGCTTTCGCCGGGAAGAAGAGATCTTCGCTCAAAGATACCCGGGCTCCGTTCCCGGGGACCCCCGGAAAGCCGAGGCCAGCCTCGTACCCGCTCCACTTTGCGCCCCGCGCCACCTTCGACGAGACGAGCGAAGAGAGAGAGAGAGAGAGAGAGAGAGTGCGTTTGCAGAGAGTGTTTGAAGAGAGGAGAGAAATTTGGGAAATGTGACATTAAGAGGGTTTTTGCTTTGTGATGTTGCAGCTTACAGATTCGTCTCGTATCGTCCTGCTGCAAGCGATCGTTCCAGTGCCCTGTCGCAGCCAGGCATCGTGTCAGTGTGGAAATGCATAATTACAATAGAATTTACGGTATAAGTTGTGTTAAATCAATGTTAATCGCTGTAGCGAAGTGGGGTATTACAATAAATACATTATTTTATGTAAAGTGTCTTTCTTTCTTTTTATTCCGCTATTTCGTTTTGTTTTCTCTATCCTAGGGTAGAAATGGGAGAGAGAGAGAGAGAGAGAGGGATGATGAGCCTCGAGTTCGCCTTCTTCTTCTTCTTCTTCTTCTTCTTTTTTTTCTCTCCACGATCGTTCCACGTCGCCGAGGGAAAAGAAAAGGCTCGTAAAGAGGAGTGCAACTGGTCGGCATCTGGGATGAGCAATTAACGGAAGGGTTTTCGCCTGGCCGTCCTCCACCCTCCACCCGTTTCACCATCCCCCCGCTCGTTGACAAGCCGTTTGATTTATAACGAGCTTTTATTTTTTAATCCCTGCCCAACTGTCACCCTTCTCGCTCTCCACCCTCCGTTTCCAACCTTCTTTTCGGAAATTTATCGTTCAATTTGCCGCCCCGAGTCGAGGCGAACTCGCCACTTGAACGAGAAAGAAATTGCGGGGCGACGATTTCGCGAACGGAAGCGAAAGATTTTGAAAGCCGTCCTTTTCCTCCTTCGCGAGGAGAAAAACCTTCGTCCTCGAAGGTTTAATTCGGGGCGAAGTCCCTGCGAGTATTCAACCCTCGGGACGGGTTACGAAATGACTTTACGACAAGGGGTGGATCCAAGGATCGTCCGAGGACAACGAGCGAGGAATTGGGAAGAATTCGAAAAATTCCTCGATAATCGATAAAGATAACAATGGTATATATATATATATATATATTAATCTCGAGAAGAGAATCAGACTCAGTTAAAGGAGCGTCTCCAACGCTCTTCAATTTCGCTTGGAAACGGAACGAAAATCGGCGCGAGCGCTGGCGAGGGGGAGAGAGAGAGGGAGGGGGGCCGGGTTTGAGCACCTCTTTGTAATTTTACGTTGCCGTGGGGTGGCTAAAGCTGACGCAGTGGGGTAGGTGGTCGAGAGGTATGCCCAGTAGCCAATTCCCGGCTCTGGCCTCGACTCGCCGGGTCCATTCATCGCCGAGCACTACGTGACCGGTTTACCAATCCACCTCTTCCTACATCAACACCCCCCCTCTCTCTCTCTCTCTCTCTCCCTCCCTGCCTCCACCTTTCTCGCCTGCCACCAAAGGCCCGCGCTACCTTCGCGTACGCGTCTACTACACGCCGCCAGACAACCCTCCTTCCTTCCTTCCTTCCTTCCTTCCTTTCTCGAGAAGTCATATCGACCGGGTCGCTTCACCAATCTATCCTCCCTATATATATATCTCTCTCTCTCCCCTTCCGCGTTTCTCCAAAGAGAAGTTTCACCTTCCTTTTCGAATTCCTTCATTCCTTAATTTCCTCGCGCATTTCTCCCCAAATTTTTCCACGACGCGCCCACGCGTTCGTTACGTCAAGGAGAGGAGGAGGAGGAGTGACGCGATGATGACATGTTAATGTATGGATACAGCCGCGTCTGGAGAGGAGGAGGAGGATGGTGGCGAGCACGAGCCAAACGCCCTTCCCTTTCGACGAGTTTCTTTCGTTCTTTCGAAAGGAAGAAAAAGAAAGGAAAGGAGGGAACGAAGGTCCCGACGATCATCCTCCCGAGTCATTGTCGCCCTGCCTTCTTCATCTGCATACAATGCAACGTAGAGACATCTCCGTACCATCCCCGTTCCGGGGATAGCCCTCCTCCCCTCCGGATCCCGCCCTTCGATCATCCGAATGTCGTTTAACATGGCCGCCCATCGAAATTACGGACGAGCGAACGGGCGAACAGAGGGAACTCCCGTTCCCTCCAATTTTTCCTCCTCCATATATCCTTATCCATATATCCGATGATGCTTGATGGACAATGGCGGAGATCGGAAGGAAAGAGGAAGACGGAGGTCTCGAGCCTTAGCGACGTAAAGCAGACGTGCTTGCTTTGACGTCGCGCGCTGCTCCCTTTTCAACCGAAACAAGTGGCAACAGTTGCGGTTTATGAAATTGAATCCAGCTCGAGGAGACGCTTAGTCGAAAAGATATTTTCCATCCTCTCTTTTCTTATCCTCGTGAAGAAGCGTGTCACTTGTGTGAAAAGAAAAAAGATTAAGTAGAACGGCAATTTTTCCAACCGAGGATAAAGCGTTCCCCCGTATTTGTCGCGAGTGGTGGCGCAGGGACGATTTATATATTTACGAGAAAGGGGACGAGAGGGGAAGAGAGAGAGAGAGAGTAGCTCGACCACTCTCTAATAATAATAATAATAATAATAATAATATCCAGCACGAGCGCAGTCACCTTTATCTCCGCTATTAACCCCCCCCCCCCCTTCCGCCAAGTAATTAAATTAAATGATCCACGGTCCCTCGATCATCCGGCTCGTAAGTGCCTATTTATCCCGACACCCTTCAAAACGTTATACGAAATCTTGCGCCGCGCGAATCAACCACCCCTCCCTAGAAAATTCCAATCGAGCCTCGTAGCTCGCCGAATCCAACGAAACCATTTTCTTCTTCGAGAGAGAAAGAAGAAGAAGAAGAAGAAGAAGCGTAGCAGTGGCCTCGAAGATCGAGATTGTTCGAGGATACATTCGCATATATATATATATACATATATATATATACACGGAGGGCCCCCTTTCCGGGGCCGATAGAGGTTCACGCGGAGGAGGAGAAAGAAGGGGCGAGGGGGTGGCGGCGTCGAGGGGCCTCGCACGCGTTATACGGTAGGGTCGAACGGCGTTGCTCGTCCCCGGGGAGCTGCGTACCATTTTGCATAAATCGCGAGACACCCCGCCCCACCGAAACCTCGGGGAGTTGGCGGAATAGCTCGAATCCGGCGCAGCGATCAGCCAAGGGATGAAAGTGGCTGAGCGAGCTTCTGAGGATATTTCCTTTCCTTTCCCTCCCCTCTTTCTCCTTCTTTCTCTCCCCGCTCTTCGAGACAAAGCCAGAGAAACTCGCCGACGAATTCTCCTTTCGATACGCCGCGCTTTTCGCTCTCCAAAGCTCGTGGACGCTGGACAGCCTCCCCGAGAAGGGGGAGGGGGGTCGAGGCTTAATTCGACAATAAAGGCAATATGCTTTCTCTCGCGGTTAAGCGGGAGCGGTATCGTTTTATGGCCGGTGTGTGGCGGCAAGTTTGAGAGCGGTGGCGCACGAGGGATGCGTAAGAGCGAGGGGTGACGAGGAGTGGAGGGAGAGGAGAGAGGCGGGACGCGTGCCCTTGGCGTAGGAAATACTCGAGAGAGTTTTTCTTTTCGAAAGGATCCCCGCAGGATCGTCATCGGTCGATCGATGGATCGATGAGGCTTGCTGTGGAACATCCTTACACGCAGTGGTTCAAATGAATACGTTGCATCACTTTCGCGTCGGAGGCGTTAAATCTTAGTCGCAAGTTTCATCGATATCGAGAATGCTTTCGATTCTTCCCTTTGCGATGGAAACCGCGAAGTATCTCGCGGTCGAATTTGGAGGGAGAGAAAGGGGGTCGAAAGAAGAGAGAGAGAGAGAGAGAGGGAGAGGCCCTTGCGCAAGCCCCATATACACGACTATAAGTTAAGATTAACCTTGCTTAGCGGCGTGGAGAGAAGCGAGAGACCGGTTAACGAACGAGGACGTTTGATGGGATTAATTTATGTCCAGTTTGGTAACCGAACCGACCGATACGAGGCTCCATATCAGGGGAGAGGCCGAGAGAAAGGGACCGAGTATCGTCGAGAGCCGGTCGTGTTCTCGGAGACCTCGGATTTAGGGAATAACTTTGAGGCCCTCGACTCGCCTTCTTTTCGACTTTCTCTCTCTTCCCAACAGAATTTCCCACTCCACTGATCGTCTCTTCTAAACCCGCGATCCTTGTCCCGAGGTGAATGGACGATAATCGCGTTTGTCAAACGCGCGCGTTTCCTTCTCCCTGGATGACACGATTGGAATGATTCGACACGATCGATTCGAGAGAAGAGAGAGAGTTGAAAGGAGTTGAAACATATTCCATGGGATTCAACTTTCTCGCGTTGAAACGATTTAATCGGGAGCGTAACGCGCCCCTCTAACGGTAAGCGTTGTATCTATCGGCGAACCTTGGCCCCCGTTTATTACTCGGATGGGTTTAATAAATGGCGCGTTGCGAGGAGGCGAGATGGTATCGGGGCGACGATAATAAAGGCCCCGGTCTCGGCCCATTGGGCACCGATCGTGGTCGCGTACCACGCCGACGGCGCTGTACAAACTCCTCGCCAAAGGAGGAGAAACGTCAGTCGGCCAACCGATGAAAAATTTCTTTTAAATCGTCCGTCTAATTGCGATTTGACGAGGTCTCTCTCTCTCTCTCTCTCTCGCCCTCGAGACACGCCGCCGGGGGCTTCCGTGGCCCCGCGTTGTTGTTTCAAGGCCCATCAACGGGATGATCGATGATCCTCCGAAGAGGAGAGGAGCCTGGCGAAAATTTCACGGAGCGGAGCTTAACGAGAGGGAAGAGTTTTGAAGAGAAACACCATCACCCGCGGCGGCAAATCGCGGCAGCAAACAAAATTTCTCGACGGTTATTTTGTCCTTTCCCCGTTCCGTTCGATTCCATTCGATTCTCTCCATCCCCTCCTCGAAAGATCGGCCCCCTTCCCCCTCCCAGAAGAAAAGAGAAAGGGAGAGGAGAGAAGGAGAGAGAGAGAGAGAGAAGACGGCTCGTTAAAGTCGCTAGTCCGATTTATTTATCGCGAGAAGGAAAGGAGGCTTAGCGGGGATCGGTTCATTGAGCAGCGGCCGGTGTCTGGATCGGCGAGTGATTGATAGTGATTTGGCAGATAGCGATCGCGGGGAACGCGAAGAGGTGTGCACCTGACGGTGCGCGCGCGCGCTCGAGAGAGAGAGAGAGAGAGAGAAGGGCCCCTGTCTCTCGAGGCCCTCGTCTCTCTCTCGGCTCGGCTCGGCTCGTACGATCGAAAACACACTCTCGAAGAGATACCGAAGACGGTGATGGTGGTGGTGGTGGTGGCTTCTGCCGACGACGAGGTTCGAAAACCTCGTGGAACCTATTATCCGAGGTAGGCAGAGCGGCTATCGGCGGGCAGCATCTTTCCGT